CGCTGAGCGTGGAGTTGGGAAGAAACGCGCTGAGCCGGCTACCGCAAGCCGCCGACAGCACCCCACGGAGCTGTATGGCTGAGGTTACGGGGTAGCTGTGTCCAAGCCCACCTCCACTCCTGGTTAAGTTTACCCTTCTGGAACCTGGAGATCTTCCCTTCCTCCTAGCTCAGCTCTGCAGTTACCCTCTTGGGAACAGTCCAATGCAGCATTTCCATGCGTTTGAAGGATGTGTGTGTGCGTGGGTTTCTATGTGCTGGGGTCACAGACTTCCCTGCTCACTGAGCCCACCATATGGCTCACGGTGAGTCTTCTTTTTATTGTCATTTTCTTATTTAATTATTTCTGATATGTATTTTCTGATTTTGTTACAATAATTAGAATATCTTCGGTGGGGGCGGGGGCAGCGGACCAGTTCAGTTGATTAAGCATCCGACTCTTCATTTCGGCTCAGGTCATGATCTCACAGTTCGAAGGTACGAGCCCCATGTGTGGCTTCGTGCTGACAGCGCAGTCGGCTTGCGATTCTCTCTCTCTCTCATTCTCTCTGCCCCTCCCCTACTCGCATGCACACAAACGTGCAAGCTCTCTCTCTCTCTCAAAATCTCAAAATAAACAAATAAACTTAAAAAAAAAAGAATATCGTCTGGGCAATTTGCTTTGTTTCCTGCCAGGCTTTTCCCCAGTAGACTTTTTTTTACATGTGTGTGCTCACCTTACAGTGGGACTTTTCTGTATTTCCCACCCAGCATCCATTTGCCTTCTTTTGGTTGTACAGCACCCCAAAATCCTTTGGGGACCCACTCCACTACCACCTACGGGCCTTAAGCTTCAGTGGGGCTGACCCCATGGCCTTACTCCACGGCTGATCAACCGGGATGTGGTCCCCGGGCCGTAGAGATCAGTTCAGAGAAGGGAACAGGAGCCCACAAGGCTCAGGCCTGAGGTTTGCCATAAATACGCAACTACAGCGTCTCTGCTCTGACCCACAGCCGCCAGCAGCCTGTGCAGGGAGGACTATCTGCCTACAAATCCAGCCTCAGTGAGAAAGGGGACCCAAGGGGGCGGGGGGGAGACGCCTGGGTGGCTCAGTCAGTTAAGCTTCCAACTTCAGCTCAGGTCATGATCTTGTGGTTTGTGAGTTCAAGCCCCGCATCAGGCTCTGTGCTGACAGCTCTGAGCCTGGAGCCTGCTTTGGATTCTGTGTCTCCCTCTCTCTCTGCCCCTCCCCTCCTCATCCTCTCCCCATCTCTCAAAAATAAATATATATTTAAAAAAAAGAAAGGGAGAGAGCCAAGACTAAATCTTGACATTATCATGGGGCCCCTGCTAAACCTTAGACTTTACAGGTTCTGTGAACCAACAGATTTCTTTTATTATTATTATTACTACTACTACTACTATTCAGCTTAAGCAAGTCTGCACTGAGTTTCCATTACTTCTAGCTGAGAGTGTTGGCAAATACGCATAGTGTGCATAAAATACTGTATCCTGCTTTTTAGACTATTATTGAAACATTTTTCCATGTGTCTATGTAGGCTTTATATGGCTGCATAAGAGTCCACAAACCGGGTTTACCCTAAAAAGAGAATATTTATTTACTTAATAGGAGAGTCATTATATCTACAAGATAGGAATGGAATAGAAATCAAAGGCAACAGTTTTTAGACTAATTTCCTCCTCTGAGCACTACTTAATAAGAACAAGGGGTGCCTGGGCTTCTCAGTCAGGTAAGCACACAACTCTTGATTTTGGCTTAGGTCATGATCTCACCGTTCATGGTGTTAAGCCCCTAGCTGAGCTCTGAACTGACAGCGTGGAGCCTGTTTGGGAGTCTCTCTCTCCTTCTCTCTCTGCCCCTCTCCCACTCATGCTTACTGTCTCTCTCTTTCAAAATAAATATTTAAAAAAATAAAATAAAGGCAAGAATCTTTCAAACTAAATTAAGGAGAAAATCTCTTTTAAATATATTTTTATGTATGTCTATGTATATATTACGTATAACAAAATAAATATACGTGATTTTCTACACCAATATTATTTAATATTTATGTATAAATAAACAAAATTTTTGTCCCCAAATTTTAAGAATCCTCTCTGCTCTTTGACATTAATCCTTCTTTAGTCTACTTTACCTTTCCTTGGCACAGATTTTTATTTTGTTTATTTATTTTTTTTAAGTTGGCTTCGCACCCAGCTTGGGCCCTAACACGAGGCTTGAACTCACAACCCTGAGATCAAGACCTTAGCTGAGATTGAGTCAGACACTCAACCAACTGAGCCACCCAGGCACTCCTTGGTTCAGATTTTTAAGGCATGTGAGATTTAACAAGGGTAAGTGTAAAGTGCAACATATAGAATCCAAAATCGAATTCCAGGGCGCCTGGGTGGCTCAGTAGGTTAAGTGTTCAACTTCAGCTCAGGTCATGATCTCACAGCTTGTGAGTTCAAGCCCCACATCTGGCTCTCTACTGTCAGCACAGAACTTGCTTCAGACCTTCTGTCTCCCTCTCTCTCTGCCCCTCTCCTGCTCTCTCTCTCTCAAAAATAAACATTTTAAAAAGTAAATAAATAAATAAAATATTAAGACGTCCATACTACCCAAAGCAATCTACAGGCTCAATGCAATCCTTATCAAAATACCAACAGCATTTTGCACAGAACAAGAACCAATAATAATAAAATTTGTATGGGACCACAGAAGACCCCAAATAACCAAAGCAATCTTGAGAAAGAAGAACAAAGCTGGAGATACCACAATCCTAGGTTTCAAGATACACTACAAAGGTACAGTAATCATAGCAGTATGGCAGTGGCACAAAAAATAGACAAATAGATCAATGAAACAAAATGGAGAGCCCAGAAATAAATCCACACTTCTAAGGTCACTTAATCTACGACAAAGGAGGCAAGAATATCCGGTGGGAAAAGGATAGTGTCTTTAATAAACGTTGCTGGGAACACTGGACAGTTACATGCACAAAAACAAAACCGAGCCACCTTTTAACCCCATACACAAAAACAAACTCAAAATGGATTAAAAATTTAAATGTGAGACCTGAAGGGCACTTGGGTGACCCAGTCAGTTAGGCATCAGACTCTTGATCTCAGGTCAGGTCATGATCTCACAGTTCGTGAGTTCCAGCCCCACATTGGGCTCTGTGCTGATGGTACAGAGCTGGCTTGGGATTCTGTCTTTCCCTCTCTCTCTGCCCCTTACTCACTTGTGCTCCCTAAACAAACAAACAAACAAACAAAAACCCAAATGTAAGACCTGAAACCATAAAAATCCAAATACATCTCATTCTTTGCAATATGGATAGACTGAGAATTTTCCAGATCTCTAAGTTCTAGTTCCTTTGAGTTTAACAATTCTCCTTTCGAATTCTACTTTAAATAGTCAGAGGAGCCAAGCCACACCTTCAATACTTTGCTTAGAAACTGCTTCAATTTCTTCCGATTTCATCACTCACAGGTTAAGTTCTACCTTCCAGAAAATACTGGAACACTAACACAGAACAGCCAAGTTCTTTGCCACTTTCTAACAACCTTTCCTCCAGTTTCCAATAACATGTTCCTTGTTTCCGCTTGAGATCTCACCAAAATGCCTTTACCATCCATATTCCTCCCAACATGCGGTTCAGGATTATTAGGGGTTCTCTAGGAAGACTGAGGCTTTCTCTCCAGAACTCTCCTTTTCTTGCTGAGCTCTCTCCAGAATCACCCTTAAAGATCCTCAGAGCAGAGGCTTTTGTGAGTGTGGGCTCAGATTCTTCCAGCCCCTGCCTGTTGCTCAGTTCCAGAGCAGCATCCACGGGTTTAGGTATTTCTACAGCAGCCCCCCTGCCTGACTTCTCAGTACAATTTCTGTCTTAATCCGTTCGGGCTGCTGTTACAGAACACCATAGACTGCGGCGGGGGGGGGGGGGGGGGGGGGGGGGGGGGGGGGGGGGGGGGGGGGGCTGCTTATAAACAATAGATTTCTTTTAAATAAACTCTATGCCCAATGTGGGGCTCAAACTCACAACCCAGAGATGGAGGGTCACACTCTCCACTGACTGAGCCAGCCAGGTGCCCCAACAGAAATGTATTTCTCCTGGTTCTGGAGGCTGGGAAGTCCAAGATCAAGCCATGGGTGGGTTCGGTGTCTGATGAAGACCTGCTTCCTGGTTAGTAGATATTGCTGCCTGCTTGCTCTGCATTTCACACGGAGCAGGGGACCAGGCGGCCGCGTGTGGCCTCTTTTAAAGAGCACCAATGTTCTTCATGAGGGCCGCACCCTCATGACCTAAGTGCCTCCCAAATCCCCCCTCCAAATACTATTAAGTGGGGATTAAGCTCCAACCTATGAACTCTGAGGTGGGACACGAATATTCACTCTATGGTGCCCACAACCAACACGGTCATTGCTAGGAGCTGCCCAGGCCCTTATCCTTCACTTATTTCTACTCACCGCTGCTGGGAAGCTGACTCTCGGCAGAAAGGCTGGCCAAGTCAGGGTCCTGAGTCACCAGTGTGGACAGAGAGGTGCTGAGGGTGGCTCCTTGCAATATTTTTTTTAAGTTTATTTATTCTGTGTGTGTGTGTGTGTAAGAGACAGAAACAGAGAGAGAGAGAGAACGAGAGGAGGAGGGGCAGAGAGAGAGAATCTCAAGCAGGCTCTGCGCTGATAGCGCCAGCTCCCACAAACCCTGAGGTCCTGACCCGAGACCAAATCAAGAGTGGGATGCCTAACTGACGGAGCCCCCAGGAGCCCCTTACCACATTATCATCAACGTCTGCGGCCCACGCCTCCTATGAGCACCCGCAGCTGCCCCTGTATACACGCCTCCACTTTTTTCCAAAACATTTGCCTTCCTCTCCTTATGTTCTGGCAAGTTCAGCCCACTAGTGCAGCCACTCCAGAGGCTCGGGACCCTCTCTGTGCCAGCACCTATGACATCACCAGCTGCCTGCAGCTCCCTGTGACCTCACCACCTGGACAACTTGGCCCAGCAGAGCCATGGCCACTCCCTCAACCAGCGCAAGTGACAGAAGGCTTAGATGACCACCGCACCCTCGGGAGAGGCCAGAGCTGCCAGCGTCCCCACCCGTGGTGACAGCAGCTCCACGGACACTTCAACAGTGGGGTTCCAGAGTCAGGGCCCCCTCCTTACAGAGGTCCCAGCAGCTAACGGTGCCACGGTGCCACCTGAACAGCAGGATGTAGATCAGGCCTCCGTCGACCAGGTCACCTCCACGCCCTCATCAGCATCTGGGGACAAGGACAAGCATGAAGAAGCTGTAGGGGACAGCCAGGAGCCCAAGGAGGCCATGGCCCTGCTTGGCGACCAGGCCTCAAATGATCCACAAATGCCCACGAGCCCCCAGGACCCAGCATGGGATGGACAGGTGCAAAATGCAAGCACGGCTTCGAGCCCTCAGAGCTTCCAACATGACTCCCTGGTGAAAGAGGAGACCCCACAAATGGCAGGGGTCCTGGACCGTGACCAAGAATTCGCTCCAGCTACAGCAGGTGTTAAAGCAGAGCTCCCCGGAGAGGTGGACGGTCAGCCCGCCGTGAGCCCTGCGCACTCGGATGGTCAGGCGGACACTGAGACCATCAGCACCACCACCGCCACCGAAGGAGGAGCTCTTGAGGAGGAATCTGAGGGTCCAGAGACCTTGAACCCTGACCCGGAAGCTTCGACTGCACCAGAGTCCCAGGAAGTGACTGAGGGGGATTTGGTGGACGGCCCAGCGCATCTGCAGGCTCAGCCGCTCCCGCCCTCGCCAGGGGGCAGTGCCCCACCCTCACCTGGCCCCTATGAGGTGGACGCGGGGAGGAGGTGCCTGGATGCCAGCCTTTACATGGCCGATGAGGAGAACAGCTACATGCGCTCCATGACCAGCTTGCTGGGCGGAGGTGAGGCGTCCATCAGCTCTCTGGCGGACATCCTAGTGTGGTCCGAGACCACCATGGGCATGGCCACGGCCTTCCTGGCTTCCGGCCACAGCTCCGTGACAGACGTGCTGCAGAGCACTGGGCCCAGCCTGCGCTCGGTCTCGAGCATCCTGGGGGGCACCTTCTCCTCTGGGCTGATGACGGGGACTAGCTCGGCCCTGCGCTCTGTCACCCACATGCTGGAGACGGTGGAGCAGAGGACCATAGAGGGCATCCGCTCGGCCGTGCGCTATCTGACCAGCCACCTCGGTCCCCGCCGGGCCCCCGCCGGGCCCAACTCTGACTAGAGGCTGCAAAGGGAGCCCCGAAGGACTGGCTCAGCCCCCTCCCGGGAACCTGGGACCCGCACGCCCTGCCCCCTCGCCCACCCCTGCCCTGGCTGGCTCTCCCCAGATCTGGCAATAAATCACTGGCGAGCGTTTATTTTCTAAGCGCAGAAAGGTGTCCCCTGAGGGCTTCTCGGGCTGTCCGGCTCAGGGGCTGGGGGTTGAAGTCCAGATAGAGAAGAGGCTGGGGGGGCCCGGGGGCCTGGCATGTGGTCACAGACTTACAACCATTGATCCTAGAGGTCCCCCCACCCACATAAGTGTGTTCCTGAGGACATGAGGCCGGACCCTTCCCCAGGGCCTGCTGGGCTCGCCAAGTGGGACTGAGAACACAGTGTCAGACCAGTGTGAACTGGGGTTCACACATCAGTGCTCTTACTGATCCTGGGCAAGTCACTTTGCCCTCCGAACCTCTGGTTTTCACGCACAGGATGGATACCGAATCCACACTGTGAAGATGTTACGAGGCATCAGGGAAAGATGCAGGGCCTAATGCTGCTTAACCAGCTCACACACTGCTGGTTACGACAGCTCGTCATTGCCATCCTCCAGCGGGCTGGGGACGTAGTAGGAACAGGGACCTCGACGGGTGACCGACCGTCCTGTTTGCCTGAGATTAAGAGGGTTCCTGGGGGGTGGGACTTTCAGATTTAAAACCAGGAAAACCCCAGGGCACCTGGGTGGCTCAGTCAATGAAGCGTCTGACTTTGGCTTAGATCATCATCTGGCAGTTCGTGAGTTTGAGGCCCACGTCGGGCTCTGTGCTGACAGCTCAGAGCCTGGAGCCTGCTTTGGATTCTGTGTCTCCCTCTCTCCTCTCTCTCTCTCTGCCCTTCCCCCACTCGTGCTCTGTCTCTCTCAAAAGTAAATAAGAACGTTTAAAAAAATTTTTTTCAACTAGGAAAATCCCAGGCAAACTAGGATGATTTGGTCGCCCCAGACCCAGGTTTCTTTACGTGGTTTTGACTCTTGTCTGTGACTATCTATCTCGGAAAAGGGGCGCCTGCTTTGGAAAGGCACAAGCCCATCCTCTGGCTGGATACAGGGCCGTACCAATCACGTGACTTGGTGAGTGCCCCCCCCAAGCTGCGCCTCAACCTCACTTCTGCCCTTCCCCCAGTGCTTTATGCACATCTCACACACACACACACACACACACCGCCCCACACACCGCACACTTCCTTGCCACAGCCCCGGCTCTGGGTCCTTTATCCATCCAGTCCTCAATCCCACCCGTCTCCAAGTGGGAGCCCTTGGCTGGAACCAGCCCACCCATCAATATATTTGTTAGCCCCATACAGTGTTTCTCAAATTGTGTATTAATCGCTAACACCTAAAAACCTGGAGACTTTACATAAAATTGTGGATTTTTAAAAAAGGTATTTCTGGGGCCCCTGGGTGGCTCAGTCGGTTAAGCGGCCAGCTTCGGCTCAGGTCATGATCTTGAAGTTCATGAGTTCGAGTTCCAAGTCGGGCTCTGTGCTGACAGCTCAGAGCCTGGAACCTGCTTCGGATTCTGTATCTCCCTCTCTCTCTGCCCCGCCCCTGCTCACATTCTCTCTCTCTTTCTCTCTCTCTCTCTCTCAAAAAAAAATAAACATTGGGGCGCCTGGGTGGCTCAGTTGATTAAGCGTCCAACTTCGGCTCAGGTCATGATCTCATGGTTCATGGGTTCCAGCCCTGCATCAGGCTCTGTGCTGACAGCTCAGAACCTGGATCCTGTTTCAGATTCTGTGTCTCCCTCTCTCTCTGACCCTCCCCTGCTCACTCTGTGTGTCTCTCTCTCAGAAATAAATTTTTTTAAAAAACATAAAATAAATAAATAAATAAATAAACATTAAGAAAAAAATATCTTTTAAAAGATATTTCTGCTTCTCTTGAGAAACTCAGGGGCCTTAATTCTTCAGAGCAACCAGTAGCTGGGCTGCTGGGTCTAGAGGGAGGCTACCTGGCCCACATCCGTGATTGATGTCACCTCCCCGGAGGCACCCCTTCGCCACCCCTCCCCTGCAGATCACCCCAGGCCCCAAGGGGGTGCCCAGGCAAACCAGGTGTGTCTGCCCCCTTTCCTCAAGGAGCTGCCGCGTGCTATAGGGAGATTGGAAATGTCCTCCTTGTGAAAGCAAAGAATTCAGAGGAGGAAGATTGTCCCTTGAGATCCCAATAATCAGGGTCTTCCAGAGAATCAAAGAGAGGAAATGTAAGGTTCCCACCCCCCTTCCCTCCCCACCCTGGCAGAAAAAGCTGGGGCAGGCATGAGGCCTGCTTAGTTGGGGAGGGCGGCCGAGCAGCTCAACCTGACCGGAGCCCAGAGCAGAGAACACATGGCAAGGCCGCCCGTAGACCCCACATGCTTTCTACAAGGAATGGTTGAGCCGGGAAAGGGCCGCTGTCTGGCAGGCACTGCTGGAGAGAGGCTGCAAAGGCGAATGATAGATCCGAAGGGACAGAAACCAAACCTAAACCAGATCAGGTGAAGGGATTAGCTGCAAGCGCAAGTGCCAAGTGGGAGGGCCAGCCCGGAGCTCAGCCTGGCCCCAGGGCTCTGTTTGTCTCTCCTGCTCTGCTCACCAGCGTGTGCTGGCTCTGCTCAGAGGCGGCTCAGCCTCCTTCCAGGAAAGACAGAGGCCCTTGTTCTCACGAGCTCCAGCAGGAAAGGCCCAGAGTGCCGGCTTGGCTCCCTTGCTCTCTCCTGCCCCAATCATGGAGGCTTTGGAAATGAAATACCTCCTTACCTGGCCTGGGCCTCACGCCCACCCAGCGCGAGGTGGGGGTGGGGGAGTGTCAGCCGTGGAGGTTCCCCCACAGGAAGGGCTGCTGGACCCACACCATTTTGTGTGTCAAAGCCGGCAGCATCGTAAAGAGTGTGGCCTTGGGGGCCAGGCTGCCTCGAATCCTGCTCTGCCTCCTACTACCTGTGTTACGTTGATCTCCCTGTGCCTCAGTTTCCTCATCCGTAAAATGTCAATAACAACAGTGCCTACTGCATCGGGCTGCTCTAAGGGTTACATGAGCTAATGAGTCAAGTGCATAGAACAGTGCCTGGCATGTGGCTGAGTGCTCCGTGGTAGCCATCGTTGTGATTATCATGACAGAGGGTTCTGTGGCACTCTGGCCAAGGGCTGACTTTCTCAGCTCCTTCCAGACTCCCTCTTTGCTGCGGGATGAACAGTTGTGTTGGCAAATCCTCCCGGAAGCACACCTTCTCTGTAGGTGGGAACCCCTTGCCCCAGGCATCCAGGTGCTAACACACCTGGGGAAAAGGTCAGGGCTGCACGCTGAGGGTGGACGGGAGTGGGTGCACCCCAGCTCCGGAGGACATGGCCAAGGTGATAAAGGAAAGGCCCCCTACCACAGGCAAGAGGAAGCCGTTCCCAAGACCCAGGTCAGCAAGCAGGACCGTCCAGCCCATCACGGCCACGGGGGTCACAGTGCCCAATGAAAACTGAACAAGGGGAGCACTACTGGGAAGAAACAGAGGGAACAGAGGGTGGTGTGTAAGAGGAAAAAGAATGAACAGGCGTCAGAATCATGGGGTGGCTCTTTGCATTCTTTGGTGTTGAGGATTGAGGCACAAAGTTATTAATTCGCCCCTAAAAAGCTAGCACCTCCTCACCCTTTCCCATTTATGCACTAGGACACCTGACAACTCTCAGTGCTCTCCAAGGTCAACAACCGTCTTCCTGGGCGCGTGTTCTGCCACGGAGAGACCTGTCTGTAAGCAGAGGTTCTGCTTAAAGAGACATTTAGGCCAGGCTGAGAGCCAGCGGGGTGGGCACCATATCCTGACGTCTGAGCCCGGCAGGGGCTTGGCTAAGGGAAGGGCACTGACGAGTCCCAGCAGATGGCATAAGGGACACTGTGGCCTCGCCCCGTGGCACAGTGGATGCTGTGATGGGCCATCCAATCCTCTTTAATGGAGGACTTGTTCCCCCAGCTGCTGGGAGTGCAGGCAGCACACAGCCTTCGGTGCCGGCCCCCTTCTGAGAGCCGCCACCCAATGTCACGGCCAGGTCCATGCCAGCATGTAAGGCCTGACTGTCCGACTCCAGCTCCAGAGCACCCGTGGGACTGGCTGGTGTGAGCGGGGGTTCGCATTATAGACTTTGTTCCCCTCCGCCCACTCTGGCTCAGGGCCTGCGTTCCACAGAACCCAACCTGTGACCCCAGGCTACTGTTTTTTTTCCCCATCTGAGATTGTGTGTGTTTGCAGGGAGGTGGAGGGGGACCTACAAATTCAAACTGTGGAAAAAGCTCAAAGATCTTTTTTTTAATGTTTATTTATTTATTTTTGAAAGAGAGAGCACAAGCAGGGGAGGGGGATAGAGAGGAAGAGAAAGAATCCCAAGCAGGCTGCCAGCGCAGAGCCAGCTGTGGGGCTCAAAGTCGCCAACTGTGAGATCCTGACCTGAGCCGAAATCAAGAGTCAGGGGCCCAACCGACCGAGCCACCGAGGTGCCCCCGAAGATCTTTTTAAAAAAAATCGTCATTGTAAGAAAAGGTAGAAGTTTGAGGCCATCTTGAGAATGGTAAAAGAAAAAGTTAAATCTTTGCCAGTGTTTTTACTTGTTTTGTAAGGGCAATAGTATTATTTTGTCTACAGCCACTTGGCTAATTGGTTAAAGTCACCACGTGCTTGTGGTCAAGTTTATAGGTTTGGCTGGGTGAGACACAGATCCTATCCAGCAAAGAGTGTCTTCGGAAGACAGTGACCATAGATAAGGGCAGTCCCCCCAGTAGGATGTAACGAAGTGTAAAGGTAAACTGAGGTCTTAAGTACACATTTACCTAATTAAATGAAAGACTGGCTTCTCTCTGGGCTGAAAGGAAGCCCGGTTTCCCAGGCTGGCTGATCTTCAGCTTCTAGTCCCTAAGAGTGGAGAGAGCGCCCTCTGCTGGACAGAAGGCACCACAGGCCTGCCCCCAGGAGCGACGAGAATGTTCACTTGGGGATTTGAGACACATTCGGGAGAGAAGTGGGGGTTAAAAGAAAATTTTCTCCGCTCACAACACTTCTGACACCAAATGTGTAGGTTTTCCACACCAAGAAGTTCTCCAGTTCCCTGCAGACGCCCACCTGGGTGACCAACAATTCGATTCTGTCA